CTACGAGTGACTGTAAAAGAAGGTGCTAATAAATCCAATCGAAAACCCGTTATTACTAGTCGCGGGGCTATTAACACCTTCGAATACGTGGTCCGCTAAAGGAAAAGGGCAGCTCAGCCGGTATAGTGACTAGGTTACGGGTTGGATGACCGAGGAATCGAGGTTTCATTCCCGGATGGGCTAAGATGCTTCTCTGCACAGCTTCAAGGCCGGCTCCTATGATGAAATGGGTACCGGGGACCTTTACTCCAGTAGGAGAAAAGCGCTGTACAGCAACGGTGAAGCTCAATATTCAACTCCATCTACTAGCGAAGGTAAGAATACGTGGCGCTATACTTCCACTCCCCCACACGCTTTCATGGCGTGGTTACGTCAAGTTTCGCAGGCCTCGCAACGCCCCAGAGGGTCTCAAACCTTAACCTTCATAACCACAGACCTGCACAAGATGGCGGAGTTCCTGCCTCCAACTCTTCACGTAAGGTAAAAGAGGTAAAGGTGTCCCTGTGCCTAACCAATTAAGCACCATGGCATGAAGGCGTATGGAGGAGTGGATATAGAGATCCACATTTTCTTAACCTCGTTACTAGTTGGAGGTGGGTGGTCAACTTCACTTCCCAGCCGATTTACCCTACGGTAAGAGTCCCCGGTACCCATTGGATTGGGGGCATTGTGGGCTCCATAGCCGATATGGATGACGCAGAGAAAGTTCGTGAACTTTCCGGGCCTCGAACTCCGACCCTCGGTCATCCAGCCCGTAGCCAGTCGCTATACCGACTACGACAGAATGGTGTGGGTACAAACGGAGAAGAGTAAAAGGAACCGAGGAAATAACAACAGGACAATGAAAAAGCAAGGTGGACGGGACGAAAGTATGGAGAATCAAAACATGGATGAAAGGAAGGACGCAGAAAGAATAAAGGGAATAAATACTTAAGTGGGAGGCAGAGAGGAAAGAGGATAAAATACAGGGAGAAATGAATAGATAAGAAGACAACAGTGAATGAAAGAAGTAAATGGGAAATGAAAGAGAAGGAATGAAGGGGGTGAAAGATATGAACACGGAGAAAGCATGGAAGGGAGTAAGACAAGAAACAGAATCGCCACGGCTTTATCACCATTTCTACAGCCTGAACTGTTCCACCGAAACGCCGTTGTGGGAACCTCCAAACATCATGGCTGGCGCTCCAATGCCGTGTCAGTAGCACACGGTGACGCAATGCAAGCAGAAAATGGCAGGCAGGTTCATCCGTCGCGTTTACTTTAATCGATAAACATTTAAATGTCTTACGATTACACGCAAGTCTTGCGGGACATCACATATAAAGAAAATGGGGTCATCCCTTCGTAAGTTTCCTTAACAGCGGATGTTTCCATTTCAGGGTTGATGGAATAACAGAAGCTCCACAAAATACCGACCAACACATTTTGTTAATTTAACAGTAACACTCGTAATCATGAATCAGCCTCATAATACGGCTCTCGGCCGTCCAACTCCGTATCACATCCCACTAGATACAACCCCGTGGCACCCAACTCCATGGAACTACCTTATGAGAAGCTAACAGTTGCTCAACTAATGGAACTAAGGGTCATTACCGTGTCCACAAGGGCCCTCCACTGATACCCACCATGAACCAGATGAAAGCGGTTTACATCCTACCTTTCAATTTCCTTAAGATTCATTTTAATATTATTCTCCCATCCATGACTGTATCTTCCTATTTATTTCCTCCACGGCTTCACTATGGCCCTGGAGTCGACTCAGCCTCTTAACAGAAATGAGTACCAGGAATCTTCCTGGGGGTAAAGGGTGGCCGGCGCGTAAAGCTGACCTCACCATCATCTGTCAGTTGACTGCCTAAAAAATGTGGGAGCCTCGACGTCTAACAACCCTATGGGACTTCACGGACTGTTACGGGGATGGCTTCACCTTCACCTTCACCTCTTCTATCTCATCTGCTTGCTACCTGCGTCATAGAGACTTCTTCACTGGCTTACTTTCCAACCCTGAAGACTGAGGAACCACCGAAACGTCGGTTGATTTCTACATGCCATTATATCCCAGCAGACAGACTCCTTCATTTTTTATAAAGTTTCATTTTTCGACAATATTCACCATCTTTATTTCGAACGGAGAGCGGTGTTAACACATTCTGGGGTCGCATGGGGCACCGCTGACGCGAGTTGGACAGCCCTTCTACGGATCGTTATTCCATTAAAGGCGGCGCAGCAAACAAGGTAAGTTTCTATAACAATACAGTATAATACACTTTAATTTCACTGAATGGGTGACTGGCATTTTATTGAAAACAAGAATTGCGATAGGTTAGCGTAACAAGGGCGTACCTCCAAGCGCCTCAAATTTCTCTTTGTTGCAGTTTCAAAGTCCGAAGTTCTTACTCCGAAAATTAATGTGAATCGAATGATTTATAGTATGAATTCTCGGTTCTTACCCATCATTTTGTAAAATGTAAAAGAAAACGCAGTCCCACCAGAGTGAAAAAAAGTAGACATTTTTAAGAGGTTCAGTATTTTTTACAGTTATGTAAATGTAATGTGGAAGCCTCGACGTCTCAGTACCCTATGGGCCTCCATGGCCTGTTACAGGGATAGCTTTACCGTGCCTTCATTGTTTTCGTATTGCTTCTTTCTCTGCTGTGGTCCCCAGAGCCAGTCTGGCGAGAAAAATCTCTTTCACTTTCCGGGAATCGAACCCTGGCCGTGTACCTCGTAGTCTGTCGCTATACCGGCACGTGCCCTTTCAAACTATGTAAGTCTCACTGCCGCTGCGATACAACATGCTGAAGAGTTATATCTTCTGGGACATAGCGCCGTTTAGTCCGTTGAAAGCTAATCGACGTTTCCAACGATGCTGCCTCCGTCTTTAATAGTCTAATAATAAACCGAGCAAGAAAACAGCGTGGAAGGACGTGGCAAGGAGAGATCTGTTTTCCGTCCTTTAAGGGCTGCTGTAAATAATATTTAAAAGAATTTAGAGCCTACAGCACACAAAGCAAGCCAAGTTTTACTATAAAGCCCAACCGGTTAATGCTGTTTGGGGAAGCAGTCGCTGTTCACTGTGAGAACCGTACGGAAGGAACACACAGATACACTCTGTGGCAGAATGCAGAGTTTTTGTGTGTTCAGTCCGTACCTCACTGGAAACATTACGTCTCCGCTACAAAGCCCAACCGGTTAATGCTGTTTAGGGAAACAGTCGCTGTTTACTGTGAGAACCATACGGAACACACAGATACACTCTGTGGGCAGAATGCAGCAATATGTAATGTTGCGGTTGATACAGCGAGAAAAACCACGTTAGCTACTGTACGGTTCTCGGTGCAAGATGGATGTAGAGTGATGATAAATAAGAAACGTTTACTTCTTTCTTTACTGACATCACGTGTTCTTAGAAGTGACAACGTGTAGTTTGATAAACAGCTACAAACGTTTCGGAGGAATCTGCTGCTTCGGTATGGAAGAATGTTTAGCTTCGAGACACTAGCTTTTTTTTTTTTTACATCGGCACACAGATGGCGGTGAGGTTGCGAGCCTTGCGCGCCGGCCGCCCTTTACCCCTGGGAAGGTTCCTGGCACTCATTTGTTACAGGTTGTGAGACCGTAGTGAGGCTTGAAGGATTAGATCAAATGAAAATTCCAATTACATCGGAAATCGAACCCGCGACCTTCCGGCTTGTAGCATAGTGAACGTGTGCACTGAATTCATCTGGTCCAGAACAGGGGCTCTTGTGAATACGGTAATGATCCTTTGGGTTCAATAATATAGTTTGAATTTCTGTCGCGGAGCAAAAGCTGACTTCTCAGGAACTACCCAAGCCCCTGATGTTAGTGTTTCGTGAGATCTTTATCGTAAAATTATACATTTAAAATTTAAAGCCACCATTACATAAACAACGAGATGGGATTCATGGCACGTGAAGTTGGTTTCAACCTGCGGTGCTTTTGTCTCTCTTCTGCCTTCCTCTACGAGGCTGGGCTTACATAGCAAGCACAGTGATATCAATAATACAGCAACCATATCCACATTTATCGGGCCCATGACTTTTCTGTACAACTATAACGCGTAACATGTGCTCATTAACTAACCAACTTCCACGAAACAGAAAAATACTGCAATGAAACTGTGTACGCTATACAATATTTGGGGGTTTCATGGCAAACAAGATTTATAACGTGTACATTACTATTTCTTGGAATGTGACACCGTGCAGTCCGACTGAATTTTTACCTAATTTTTTTTTTTGGTGGAACGCATTACCTCCATCTTGTAAAAGTCGAAGAGTGAGCCAAGCATGCAGATTCTTAGACCGTTAAGACGTCGGAGATGTTGCTCCGAAACGTCAGCTGACTTTCACCGAACTATACGTTGTTATATACCTGAAGCTCAAACTCTTTACTTGAAACTGGTCTACATGGATAAAAGGTTCTGGTTGATTTTGGCGAACTTCAATTTTTTTGAACCACCTGATGCCAGTTTCGATTTTCACTTTGTTGATGAACATTTCGGTTTCTGAATCAGTTTATATTGATATAGATTTCAAACTGGTTTATAATGGTAACTATATGTTTTCAACCTGCGTTGTTTTAATTATGATTTTAATGGATTTACATTATGAAATCCTTTACGCGGATTTGATTTTAACCTGGTCTACTGGGATTTCAGTTTTAAAATTGGTTAACATACATTAGAGATCCACCTCGTTCATTACCACGAAACTAACCAACATTTTGCCCCTTAGTGAAAATACACAGCACTGTTTCCCCACAACAAATTTATAACCTTCAGAATTCCTCTTACTCCACGACTTCGGTGAAAGTATGTCAATTTTTTTTGTTTCGAAATAACAAGCGAACTACGTTTTGCAAAGTCATGAGGTGAGACTGATTCGGCAAGGGATTCGTTTTCACAAAAATTGCAACATTTATCACAACACACAAACACAATGGAATGACAAAACACAGGTGTCAGCTTCCCCTACCTTGCAAATGGCTGCTCCTCAACCTCGTAAAACATCTCGATGGGTTCGTGGCAAATTAATCGCTCCATCTTCTCTGGAGGCAGTTCCAGATACCCAGGGATTGTGGACTTCTTCATATCAACTTCCGGTACCCCACTACGTGTAGGCCTGTCTAATTTGCGGCTGCTGCCACCACTAACAACACCAAACACTTCACGCATCGTTCAAACAAAATCGCACAGCTATACAACTTCAAACAACACACAGTCCCTTACAAGTTCACATACAGTACAGAAACAGCAAAATAACTTTCGAAATGAAGAAAAAAACCTAGAACTTAGTCAAGTGTATACTCTCCTATCTCTACGTGGACTTTATCATTTTGATAACAAAACAAATCAATTGTCTTTATCTCCTTCGATTTTGATAAAATCACTATGTTTCTCAAACCACATAAAATCCGGGTATAAACACGACTTCGTACGATCTAGTGAACACTGGAAACGTCCCCCGAGGAGCTGAATCGTTCTACAATTCGAACACATCCACTCTCCACGGGAGCCTAGTACCCAATGGCAGGGGAATGGCAGTACACAACAACTTCACAGTTTCTCCGCTGCAGCGCTGTTGGTCGCTGGAGAAAACATTCCTTCTCTCTCTCTCTCTCTCTCTCTCGCAAGTCCGCCAAGGACCATCGAGACTTATATCGTCGTTCATAGCACCAAAGTGTCAAGCTCCAAGCAGCATATCTCAAGAAAAAAAGAAATTCTTTCGCGAAACAGTAATAGGTGGGGGTAAAAATACATGCATCATTCACCAATAGCAACCATCCAAGCAGCTAACATAAGGTATAGAGCTTTTCAAATACATCATCCGGGGGAAGGACATTAAATGCATAAATCAGAGGCAGAACAAAGGACCAGAGGGAGGAGAAAAAAGGATTGTGACATCCCATTGGGTGACAATACACATGTATCTTCAGACTGAGGTTCTCACAGCGAATAGAAACAGTACTGTCTTCCGGGATGTGACTCCGTACAGTGGGGTGGAAATTTATCGACGTTTTGCTTTTTATTTATCTTCCGACCCTGATTATAGAAGTAGTAAGTTGCTCCAAAAACGCTGGTGTACTATCAGACTATGCCTATTCGCACCCTACATGACAAAAATTATCATCTTTTGTGTTTCAAGATAACGCAGTCGGTACAGTGAGATGCTACGAGCAGGACGGTCGCGGTTCGATTCCTGGAAGAGCCAAGAGGATTTTCTTTATTCCATAGCCCAACCACCCTCCTATTCAGCGAGTGCCGGGAGCTTTTCCACAGGGTAAATTGGCCCGGGAGTAAAGCTGGTCACTCACCCCATCTAGAGCCGAGGTCAAGACTGGTGGCGTCACACCGCCACTCTCCCATACGTCTTCTTGGCGTGGTGCTTAATTAAGCGCAGAGACAACTCTTCATCTGTTTCTTCAAAGGTATTGAGTTCGAACATAACATACAATTTTATTGCTCCTCACAACGCAACTGGGTGAGAGCAAAGAGATAATCTTGTGGGACCTGAGGTTCTGACGGAGGTCAGTCTAAATCTGAAATCTTCTGGGATGTGACTCCGTGTAGACGTGCACCAACCGTTTTCGATGGCCCCAAGCGGGGTCAAGAGATAGCTTTACTGACTTGCATTTGTGGAGTTCCCGTTCTAATCTCGCCTGGGACAATGACTATCCGGACTGTGGTCAGTGAATCAGACGCTGACTTCTCTAACCTACGCAACTCAAAAAAAAAGGTAAAGCTATCTCTGTAACAGGCCGTGGAGGCCCAGAGGGTTGTGAGACGTCGAGGCTTAAACATTTTCTAGACAGTCGGCTCACAGATGGTGGTGAGGCTGTCAGACTTACGCGCCGGCCGCACTTCACCCCCAAGAAGATGCCTGGTACTCATTTCTGTTAGAGGCTGAGTCTACCCCAGAGCCATAGTGCGGCTGGAAGGTTTAGGTCAATTGAAAAATGCAGTGACCTCATGGGAAATCAAAACCGCGACCTTCCGGCTTGTTGACTCATTCGTTCCAGGCTACGGAGTCAGATACAGTGTCGTTAAATAAATTGCAATTACATAAATCTACGGCGTCATAACCTAGAAGACATTCATTCTGGCGAAACCATGTAGGAACTGTGGGATATAACACCGTGTAGTCCGCTGAAAGTCAACCGACGTTTCGGATGAACATGCCGCCTCAGTCTTCTGGGTGGAACAATGGCCCAAGTAAGAAACCAGCGAGAAAGTACCAGTAGATGGCACTGGGTACCATAGACGAAACTGTTATTCTGTCTAAGCACCATGTCGTGAGGACGTATGGGGGAGTGGAAATATAGCTAACGCTGGTTCCTCGCTCGCGAATTTTTTGTTATAACCTGAAGATGGAGGTGATACGTTCCTCCGAAACGTCGGTTTACACAATATCTACAGGGCGCCACATCCCATAAGACGGCATTCTTTAAAGAAAAGCAGCTCGGTCAGGATAGTCGACGTCACGACCGAGATTCGAACCCAGCATTTCCCGAATACAAGTCAAGAACTTCAGCGCTAAACTGAGCCGCTCGGTCCAGTTTAACCACGTAAGCCACGATCGTAAGTACACGTACCACTTGCCTTAATGTTCACGAGTGTCATATTGTGCCTTGTGGACCCGTTACCAGGCAACAACCGCGAAATAATCAACTATACAACAGCCGTTGCTAGATAGCGGCTCCGCCAACAATTCTACAACACCATTATAATACAACTAAAGGAAGGCGGTCCTTGCCGACCTGTTATAGAACAGTGAGAGCAGTCTGCAGGGTCCCAAAGCTGTCAGACAGTAAAATATGGGCATGAGTCCCTTGGGACTCGAAACCAAGAACAATTGTGCTGGGGAGGACAAACAGCAGTTCAGCAATCAAGCAAAGGTTAGTGAAGGGTTGGGTGGTGAGTCAGCCAGACAACCGCTGGGATTCCGTTCTGAGCTGCTGCTGTGAGAAGCTGGTAGCTGAGGCAGGGGACAGTTCACGAACCCAGAGGAAGGAGAACGTCCACAGTTGAAGCCGCTACCAAACAACGTCTAGTGAACACTGTAATAGACTGGGTGGTCTATGAAGTGTATAGAACATTGAGAGTATACGCCTTACAGAGTAGGGTACCAGGAATGTTCCTGGGGTAAAGGGCGACAACTTCGTAAGGCTGACAACATCAACCATCTGTGAGCCAACTGTCTAGAAAATGTGGGAGCCTCGACGTATCACAACCCTATGGACCTCCACGGCCTGTTACGGGGATAGCTGCACATTTTTACCTTACCAGAAGGGCAAGTGGACACTGCCTGGGAACATTTTTCTGTCCCATCTCCTTAAGTGTAGTGTCTCTAACCCGCATCCCTCTATTTTGATCTCTCTCTCTCTCTGTCTGTCTGTCCCTTCAGGCTTCAAAGGGTTAAAGGACACCCAAACTTCGTGCGTACTGAAATGTTACAGCAACTTCAAGAAACTGAAGTCACGTGTCAGTAAATTACGTATAGAGGCTTCGCACATCAAGTCAGCCAACCTGGAAATTCCTGACACACGGGGATTCCCTCAACTTGTAACAACTTAAGAAAGCGGGGGCGGGCAAAACATATGAAACCAGATAACGCTGGCTTGAAGAGTTCTGTCTTCAGGGATATAACGCTGAGGGTTCTAATTGCCACCTGCTATCATGTTAGATTCTTTCTCTGTGTATTTCTCGACCCTGAAGATGGAGGTGAAATGATTCTCCGAAATGTTCTGTGGCCTATAGAGCCGTTACTAGGCGAAGACTTCGAAACCAACAATAAGTACAGCCGTTACAACTTCTTTATTAAAACTGTCACAACACAACTATACCGAGGTCGGTGCCTGGTTATGGCTCTGCTACATGTTTCGGCTATTAATAGCCATCATCAGGCAGATACATGGCTAACATATATACACCACTGAACTGCAGTATTAGTAAAATTGGATACAATAATATTAATTATATAAAATACTTGACGTAAAAATACAATAAATTCGATTATATAAAACAAAAGGTACAGTATAAAACAAGAATAAATCACAAAAACCAATGACTGACTCGATGATTTAAAGCAACACTCGAAGAATTTTATTCTTGTTTTATACTATAACTTTTGTTTTATATAATCTAATTTAATGTATCTTTACGCCAAGTATTTTATATAATTAATATTATTGCATCCAATTTTACTAATACTGCAGTTCAGTGGTGTATATATGTCAGCCATGTATTTGCCTGATGATGGCTTTTAATAGCCGAAACATGTAGCAGAGCCAAAACCAGCCACTGACCTTGATATAGTTGTGTTGTGACGGTTTAAATAAAGAAGTTATATATTATAACACAACAGGATGCATGATATGAAAATTTAATATCATCGTTGGATCAGGAATTCTAACGGAGGTACAACTTAGAAATACGTCCTTTTCACCTGAAATGGAGGCGGAAGGTTGCTACGAAAGCCCAGTCTTAACACCTGCATGGCGTAACACGGGAGAGTGGAATTTAATCTCAATTTTAATCATTTTCATGATGCCAGGAAATACAAGACTAAAGCGGGCAAAGGTTGAAATTTATCAGTATACAAATAAATTATGATCTAAGTCAATATCTAATCTCCTGTGCTTTATCTGACAGCGTGCGTTAGTGCACTAGTCATTCAACACTAAGGCTCATAATTTGTCCTATAAACCTTCATACTGTGGCATATCTGCTCAAAGGAAGAACGTGAACCCAGACGAACAGCCATTGCTACGTAACGGCTCTGAAACGATACAGCTATTCCATATTTCGTGCATCTACAGAGTACAGACAGGCTCTGGGGCTCAGCCTCTTACTCAATAAGTATCGGGGACGAATTTGTACGGACTCCACAGTTTGACATACAATGACAGGCCACAAGTTGACAAATGCTTTTGGAATGGGTAGTAAGTAACAGCGCTGAGCGAACACTTCTCTAACTCCCTGCGGCAAGGCCGCGCACCTAAAGGAAAGAGGTACGCAAGAACGGAGTTAATAAGCTATACCGCCTGCACAGTGACTTAGCAGGCAACTAATTGCAAATTCACTATACAGAGCCCATCTTGAGAACTTGGCAGTTGCTCAGCTAGTCAAGAAATTCCCCCGTGCAGTGTTCAAAAACCGGGCCACACTCTCGAACTACATAACCTTAACATAAATCTTCCCATTGTAATCCTATCATCACCCAAGAAAACAGGCCGTGGAGACCCATGGGGCTGTGAGACGTCGAGGCTCCCACATTTTCTAGCCAATCGGCTCACAGATGGCGGTGAAGTTGTCAGCCTTACGCGCCGGCCTCCCTTTACCGCCAGGAATATTCCTGGTACTCATTTTTGTTAAGAGGCTGAGTCGACCCCTGAGCCACAATGCGGCTGAAAGGATTAGATCAATTGAAAAAATCCACCCCATTGGGATTCGATCTCGCGACCTTCCGGCTTATAGCATACTGCCTCATGCCTCAACCAACTACGCTACCGCGTGCCCCCAATTACGAGTGTAAATGTCC